AGAACTTAGCCCTTATGTATAGCATAGGCAGTCAGACTTTTTCTTTTTGCTTATGTGGTGCTGAGGAATCGAACCCAGGGCCTCATGCATGCAAGGCAAGAGCTCTACCACTGAGCCACCTTCCCAGCCCCCCAACTTCTTTACTACTATGGTGCTGTGCTGAACTTCTACCTTCCAACAGAAGAATCATGGGCTATCCTAGCCTAGGTCTTCCCTGGGATGCAGATGGGGATAGCGGTGGGGCTAAGAGGACAAAGGAACATGGTCAGGATCCTAACAACCAGAGTGATGATCAGGCAGGATTAAAATGGACAAAGTTCAGACAAGAGCCACTGGTATAACCAAGTTTTCTATGTGAGATTCTAGGTCAGACACCTGGTCATTAGGCTACCTGCCAGGTAAAATAAGTACTCTGTAAAAGGTATACAATGAACATCTAGATCCAGAGCCTTTCATTTCCCATCAGGACCAGGTTGCTAGTGGCTCTAGTATGAGAACCCTAATTTAGCTGGGCTCTTAGGACCACTCAGTGTCTGGCTATGAGCAGATAAGACATCCAGCACTCCAAGAGCTGAGAGTTGCTCACCTAGGCCCCATCAAGTCCTGGAGACCAGATGCTTGGCAGAAAGAATAACTATTGGCTTGTGCACAAGGGGCTGCTACCCACTCAGGCCACACAGGGCCTGGCTCTTGTTCTCTCAGCCGGTCGTACCTTCTCTCTCTGGATGTCACTCTTGATCTGAGAGATCTTGATCTTCAAGGCATCTAGCTCCTCATCTGGCACCAGAGGGATGTTGGGTGCTGCCTCTGACTCGTCCACCATCTGGAAGCTGAGATCCGTGAGTGGAATGTACCATTTGCAGTCATACTGTTGGGTTTTGCTGGATAGGGAGAAGAAGAACGTTAACTTGATGACTATTTTCCTTTAATAATGTCACAACTTTTCATTCCTGCTAGAGAGCCCTAGATTCACAGCTGTGCATGGTTTATGTGACCTAAAGCCCAATCTGTGTTCCATGAGGCTATTAGCAGATACTGGCAACCTCGGTGTCTCCTGGGAACATTTATTCCACATGTGACTCCAGGCATCAAGGTATCTGAGAAGCCATGGGTCCCTTCATCCTGTGCTGATCTTGATGTTGGTGCTCACATTGGGAACATGATAAGATACCCAATGGCAGGGCAGGACTAAAGTTCAGAGCTGCAGAATTTGAGAAGCTGCAGATATATTCAATACAATTTCTTCACTGGACAAATGAGGGGACAGAGGCTCTCTATTAGGCTCCACAAAAAGCAGAACACAAGAGCTCAGTTATGGTTCTTTCCAATGTGACCCTCTTTGCTTTATTCAATTCTGGGTGAGGCTGACCCCTGGTGGAGTGCGGGGAGATTTGCAAGCCTATGATGAGAATAACTTGGCCACCATCACCAGGTTCAGGGAGTTAAACAGATTTGCCTAACAATATATTCCCAGAGCAGGCCCTTCACTTGACATACTTTTCTCAGTTTTTTTTTACAGCCAGTCCTTCCTCCAACTGTACGTGACGGACAGTCAGGTTTACTCCTCACGTTCGAAGATGAAGCTGAATGACTGGCCCTGATTAGTAGTGACACCTTTGACTTTGAGCCTGGAATCATGTCTGTGTGAAAGTAGAATTTAAAGAGAGGCACCTGGCCACAATGTTTTAATCATGCCCCAGAGGGAGACCATCAATACCGGAGTGCTGAAGCAGTCGCCACTTGGGTAAATGTCACTCACCCTCCACTCTGCTTCTTGAGTTTGGTGCAGAGGAGCAGGTCCGTGAACAGGAAGACGTGACGCAGCTTGCGGGCTCCCTCCACCAGTTCCACCATGAAGCTGTCCTTCAGCAGCTGCCGGTGCTATATGCATGGAAGAAGGTCTCAAGTTAGGACTAGCATGGGTGGTATGGGATGAAGTAAGCTGGGTCTTTCCAATTGGTAAGAGTAAACGGACCTTCTGGAAAACTTTTTCCCTTGGGAGATTTCATCCCCTCTATATCCAACTCTCAGACCCACTTTCTGCAATGTTCCATCCATCTCATCAAAATGCTAAGAGGAGGGGCTGGGAAGGTGGCTCACAGCAGTAGAGTGCTTGCCTCACATGCATGAGGCCCTGGGTTCGATTCCTCAGCACCACATAAACAGTAAAAAAAGGCTGCAAGTGGCACTGTGGCTCAAGTGGTAGCACGCTAGCCTTGAGCTGAAGAGCTCAGGGACAGCACCCAGGCCCAGAGTTCAAGC